GAATTATTTCATTGTTTCAGTGAAATCTTTGGTTAGACTTTTAGAGATTACAAATAAAAGTGCCGTGATTCGCTTTAGTGTAAATGACTGAGATGGGTAATGTGGCAACCCTGTTGTCTGGGGCTTGATGGCTTGGTGATAATACTAAAGAGAAAGGCTGCACTGAGTGCTGGTGATGCTTGGTACTTCTCTGAATGTCACCTTGGTCCCATCAGCTTGGTCCCACTGTAGGTATCCACACGTTTCAGCATTGTCAACATGGGGCAAACATCCCTCATGACATATCAGCCTAAGGGTTACCTTAATCAGGTCCACTTGGTTACTATTTCAGTATTATTGAGTGGTTGCTTATCATTTTTAGCTAGTAATCACAGTGTTTGTACTCCCAGCTTTTGTAACGTGTTTTTTATCTAGTTTAAGCCATGTGTTTAATGTCACGGTCAAGCCCTTAAAGGAATGAATGTCCTTTGTGCTTGGAGGGAGCAGCTCTCTGTTCAGATCAGGAGTAGGATACGGTACGAGCCAAAATAACTGCAGTTTCAAGGAGTAAAGAAAACAAACATGAAAGAAACCCTACCCAAATCTGAAAACCTTGTGTTTAACTGATTCTCTGTATGAAGAAGTCAATTAGCTCACTCTCTGTTAGGATACACATCTTGGTATTCACTAAGTTGATGCAGAATGTAGTTAATCAGTGGCTCTGAAGCACCCTGCGATCCCGAGTGCCATTAAGTGCTCCATTGTAGCCAAGTCATAGAATCACAGAATGGTTAGAGTTCGAAGGGACCTTAAAGATCATCGAGTTCCAACCCCTCTGCCCTGGGCAGGGACACCTCCCACTAGACCAGGTTGCTCACAGCCCCATCCAGCCTGGCCTTGAACACCTCCAGGGATGGGCCAGCCACAGCTTCTCTGGGCAACCTGTTCCAATGTCTCACCATCCTCACAGTAAAATCCTTGATATAATATATTTAATCATAAATATTTAACGTGGTTGGGGACTACAACCTTGTAATATTCAGCATGTTTGTGTGTGTGGCTTTTTAGGCAGCATCCCTGACGGTGGATTCCTGCTCTGAGGATCAGGAGCCAGGCTACTGCACTGTTAGCAATGTTGCTGTTTCTACTGACTGGTAAATAATTCTTCATTTTGTGGGTGTTTTTCTGGAGTAAAATGAAAAAGAAATCACTCTCCAAAGTCAGATAAATTTGGAGTAATGATTACATGCCCTTCAGAGGGATGCAAAGGCAAGGCTCCAAAGTGTCTTTTTCTCCCATCTTCGCAGAAGCAAATTATGTTTTCTACACGTACTGCTACTTGCTAACTCAGGCTACGTTTCTGCATGGACTTCGTTCATGACAAGGAGTTTACTCAAAAATCCCCAGTTCTTGACTCCGTCTCTGTCCCCATGCTTTGGGGCCATATAAGAAAAGTACGGCCCTGGTAGTTCGTACTGTGGTATAAACGGGGACAAGACTCATTGCCTAATAGTATGAGATTTCACATCATAATTGAGACAACATTACCAAATCAGAGTATCAGATACAGTAATACACAAATGTATTTGTTATAATCAACTGGCTCTTAAATATACAGCACTACTCCCTGACGGTTTGAAGTTCTACAATATTTAGTGCTACAAATCTTTAGCAAAGCCTCCTCCACTTTTACATTTTGAATCATATCTTTCTTGCCAAAACCAGGCTCAGACTTGAAATGCTATTACTCTAGTAGCACCTATATTTCACTCCAGTGTTCGGTTTGGGGCTTGGATTTAGGGTCTTCTATTTATTTATTTGTTTATTTAAACTGCACCTCTAATTTCTTGTAAAGGTGTAAGAAATACCTGATTACTGCTTTCTTTTAAAACAAAAATAAAATAAGAGTAATTACTTTGTCATTGTTTTGAGTAATTGCCAGATGTCATCTTTCACAGTTTGCATTTCTTAAACATTGGCCAGTACAGAAAACAAGCCTTATTTATTGTGTTTACCGTAACTAACTCGGAAGCCTTTCTGTTGCATCTTTAGATCCTCTTTGGAGATAACAATAACTTAAATCCCAATCTCTTTGGCTAATTTCTTACCATAATCACAATTGTATTTCCTGTCACACGTGGTTTCCCCACTAGCAGAGCTGTTATATCTTTGCAAAATAATGAATCCACCTTCCATTTATTTAAATATCATCTACATTTTAAACGATAATTGAGTTACAAAAACCTTATTCATTATGATTTCAAGCACGCTGCTCAGTTAAGTGAATAGAAATTTTGACATGCGATAACTGAGTGTGAATTTAGAGTCATACCCATTATAACTGTTAGTTCAAGCGCTACTGATCTCTCTGTCTCCCCTTCTAAATGTAAAATATGAATTTAGTAAGAGAAAATATGAATTTTGTAAGAGGAATTTTAGCCGCAGACCGTAGCTGATGGTTACAGTTCCTGTGGTGTTGTTGCTATCTTAATATCTGGTATTGATAAATTGTTTTTCCGACTCTTTTATAGGACTCTTGATGTACAACCAAATCGAGTTACTGTTGGTGGCATCAGGTCTGTAGAGCCCATCCTTCAAAGGAGAGGACAGGTGGAAAGCCATGATTTTGTGGGCTGTATAATGGAGTTTGCAGTCAACGGACGTCCCCTGGAGCCCAGCCAGGCGTTGGCAGCTCAAGGAATCTTAGATCAGTACGTCTGCTATATATGGTATCGAATGGGCCGCGTTTACGGTAAAGGAAGTCGTCGTGAAAGTCAGATGCTATTTCATTCAGACACCGTCAGATATTTCTTGTCAAAAAATGACTGTAGAATTTACTGTAAAGTGTGAAAAATGTAGGAAGAAAGTGAATTAGGATGAAAGCTTCACGAAAGATTACAGAGGCTTCAAAAAGGCAACATCATTACATTTCTATTGCCAATTATTATTAATGTTGCTCTGCAGGCTGGAACAGACTAGCCCTGTTATTGGATTTCTTTATAAATTCCACCTGGGTTTGACTGTACTCATGCTGTTTGCTAACCCTCTACTCCCTCTTATTTCTTTTCAATCCACAATATCTGTTCTATCACTTTGCCTCTCAAATATCACTGAATTTCCCTCATATCCTCCGAGTGGTCTTTCAGAAATGATGGACTATCTGATTCTATTGGTTTTTTCCATCTCGGCATTTGAAGTCACCACTGTAGCAATTATGTCAATCTTTCGTCCAAATTTGCTAGCTCACCCTTCTTCTTTCAACCCCCACGTTTGTGGTGTTCATTGTGATATGAAACCTCTGGAGATCTGCAACGTAAAAAGCACCTAAAAGAGTTTCTTCTTCTCTTGCGTAACGGATAATAGGAGTTTCACTGTCTCTGGACTCCTTTCTCTTTCTAAGACTGTTAACTTGATGCTGAAAATTGGGATCCGTTTAGAAACGTGAGCTGTCTGTGGAGAAGAGTCTCCATTTTTGCATTTCTAGGGGGAAGGACAGTTCCCAGCACATTTTCTCTGCTTATTTGTGCCTGTGTTCTTCAGCATCTGCTTTTCCGCTTTGTTTCAGGTGTCCCAGACTAGAAGGCGCTTGCACGACCAGCCCCTGCCAGCACGGCGGCACCTGCGTTGACCACTGGTCGTGGCAGCAGTGTCACTGCAGAGATGGACTGACGGGAAAACACTGTGAAAAATGTATGGAGAAGGTTTTATTGGCTTTCTCTTTAATGTTCACCAAGCTATGGTTTAACCAAATGCCATTAAGAGTTTCTTTTCAGGGGCGTGGGATAATGAATTTTATAAAATAATGAAAGCAAGCAGAATGTTTTCCTCTTAAATAATTTTGAAGGAGAAGTCCACGATGGGCTGTTGTCCTTTCATGAGCTCAAAATACCAACAAATGACATATATCATGTTTTCTGCTCTGTAGATCACATTTCAGGTATCTTGCACTCATTTAAAACTACTGCTTCCCAATAACGTGTAATCAGTAACTAAAATAAAGCTGTCCCAAAGGAGGGATTTGTCTGCTATGGGGAGGTAAGAGGGGAAGGGAAAACTCTTCCCTTCACATAAGCATGGTGTGCATGTGCTTATGGCTTTTCCGAACCACAGGCCTTTTTATCAAATGGCCGTCAGATTATATGCAAGAAAATATGGTAAATGTAAATAAAAGCAAGGCCTTTACGCTCTGGGGTTATTAACTGGCATATGGATAGCTCTGTAAATCAATACGGGATTGTCTAGGAGAGCAAAGTGATTTATTTCCATGTAGCTGCAGTATAATGAGTGGGCTTTGTTTTCTTACATGTCCCATTATTGTTTAGCTGATTTATATGCTTTTATTGCGCCAGTTTACAAAAGAATTTAGCCATAATTTTAACAGCATTTGGTAGTCAATGCTCTGCCATTTTTATTCTTTTTTTTTTCATGTCGTAACAAATAGAAAGTCATTATCTCTGCCCCGAAGAGCTTAGAGTTCAATATATCATGAAGCCCTGCTTGCAGTAATGGAAACAGTAACATCCCTGGGAAGGAATTACAGTTCTGAGAGCCAGATTTTTTTCCCTACTCCCTCACTTGTTCCCTGGCGAGTTTTAATTTACTATTGACTGATAGCAGCAGTAAATTACTAGCACACTCCCACTCTCAAACACACATTCTGGTGGAAGCCAAAGAATAGAGGGGCTGAAATTGCCATTCGCTCCCGCTCTCCCCCCTGACCTGCTCTGAACTTGATCTCTGCTCCGAGAGAAAATGGTCGTTATTAAGCAGATGATGGCTGTAGCTGTAACGAGCTGCCTACTCAGTACCTCCCCATCCTTGTCCCAGATATTACCGCCGACACTGCCTTATCGCTGGAAGGCAAAGGACGACTTGACTACCACATGAGCCCAAACAAGAAACGAGAATACATGATGAGACACGGCACTCGAGGCGTTGGCCCGGGACCCCCGAACGTGGAGCGCTTGGAAGTGAAGTTCAGGACGAGAAGTGAGAACGGCGTTTTAGTTCACGTCCAGGAGAGCAGCAACTTCACTACCGTGAAGGTAAGATTACAGCTAATGCCGAGCTTGATTTGATTGGACTGCCTCATGCATGGTGATCAAAATCACATTTTTCCATTACTCTTGCTGTTTCCTATATAAAATATTAGGTCTTTAACTGAGGCTAGGCACTGCTCCAGTATCGTTCATCTTCTCAACAATTCCCTTGCTATTTGCCAAGGTATCAGAAGATCTTGATGGTTTTGTATCTAATCAGTTTTGTCTAGACTCCAAATAGTGACTGTTTTAAGGCAGCAAGAACACTCCTCATTGCCATATTTGTCATCGTCATTAAGTTACGCTCCACAGAACAAATCGTTTCGTTATTGGTCCCTTATCTTCTGATTTTTCGGGCCTCAAACGCAGACCCTCCTTAAGCTAGCAAACAATTGCCAAAAAGTTTTCATTAATTCCTACTAGCGTGGCCCATGCTTATCACACTAGGAAGTGAGGGATAACTTGAATTCATGAGCTTGCCCATAGACCAATGTCAATACCAAACTATTTTAAGATGCATAGCTGAATCAATGCTTCAAATGCCACACAGTTTGGGGTTGTTTTGTTTGTTTTTTTTTCCCAAAGAGTTTATTGCTGCAGAAGTTACCTTTCTCAAGAGAAAGCGATGGTTCAGTTCCTGGCTATGACTCAGTCCATTTACTCATAACTCTAAATGAGTACAGCAGTGATGTTGGCAAGCCCCTTTATTGGGTTGGTGTAAGCTCCAAGTTTCCTTGACTGCTCTAAGGCTTTCCAAGTTTTTTTTCCCTGACTTTTAAAGAAACTCATACAGAAATTCACACTTTCTAAGCTTCAGCCCTATGGATATTCTCCACCTGCCTGGTCAGAGGTACAGAGCTTTCCTGACACACCGCTGCGTTTTAAGAAGCAAGGCTGCATTACTTCCCTGGCGTACGCTTTTACCACATCATTTGATAGGAAGTTTCTGCCTCAGACATATTAGCAGATAAGATCTCATTATTTTGAGTTCTGAAGAGAAAAAAACCAAATACTACCTTTTTCTCCCTAGTAGAATTTGCTAGGTCAGCTCTACAAGCATTATTAAAAAAAAAAAAAAAAAAAAAAAAAGGAGAGAGTTGCCTTTCCTGGCTGAAAGCACTAGTGCTGTGTTTGTGCAAACACTCTTATTATTGTTAATATTGGTGAAGTTATACAAGCAAGCAGAGGGTGTCACGTCCCAGACCCAGCTGTGCGAGGGCAAAGAGCAGAGGTTTGCCTCAGGACAGATGCAGCGGTTTGAGGAGGGAGAAGTAACATCACTGTACCTATTATCGCCAAAAGTTCCCAGATTATGCCAGTTAACAAAACTGTAGTAATTTAACTGTAATTGGTACAGTATAGCTCCTGTGCCCCGGCTCATACCTGGAGTAGGTATCATGATGAGCATCTCGCTCCACTCCCGGTGCAGGAGATGCGCTGTAGGAGCGTCTGCTTGCAACTCTCTTGTCAGTCTTCAAAACAGACAATTTTATAACTTGATTTTTAGGTCTTCTTAATATGCGTGTTATCCAAAGTGGAAGCGTTCAGAGAAAACCTGCCATGTGTTTTTTAATATTAAACTGCGCTGGGGTGAAGCTGCAAGTCCTGTGGCTACTTCTGTGCCTCCGCATTTTTCCTCTTGTAGTTAACTGGCTTTGGTGTGGCGGCAATTGGGGTAAAATTAAAGAAATATGGTAATAAATCAGACCCACTGAGATTGTGAGCAGCTGGTTCACTAAATGATGGATGTAAGCTCCCCCCAAAGAACCCAGGAGAGGTCTTTATGATACAAAGGGATCCTTAATCCAGGAAAGATAGAAAAACTAGCAGATTAAATTAAAAAATGGTCAAATTCAGATGGAAAATGCCCCCCTGAAAACACACCAAAAGGAAGAGGGTAGGGGATTCCTTATTAGTAAAGCTCTTTCTCACAGCTTATTTTCCTACAAATAATAGATGTTGCAACTAATTAAATTAGAAGTAATGGGATAAATACAGCAGGTTAAAGGCGAAATTGCCAGCCTTGTTTTAGCTGGAAATCTCATCTGAGATCAGATTAAATGAGCGTAACTGTAGCTCTAAGATCTATGAATTGTACGGGTAGAGAATGTGGATCACATGTTACCTATATGAGCTAACATATGTTGGGGTGGGGTGACACTGGCACAGGTTGCCCAGAGAAGCTGTGGCTGCCCCATCCCTGGAGGTGTTCAAGGCCAGGTTGGACGGGGCTTTGAGCAACCTGGGCTGGTGGGAGGTGTCCCTGCCCAGGGCAGGGAGGGCGGACTAGATATCTTTAAAGGTCCCTTCCAACCCAAACCATTCTGTGATTCCATGCACTTATTGAGTTGCAGGAATACATCAGAACATAACTCGTTTAAATAGTATCTCATCCAGTGGGCCATAAATCTGTAAAGACTAGTGCTCAGATTTAAGACAAATAAGAAGCAATTTGTTCAGTAGAGGAGACTCAGAATATTACTAAAGTTGAATCATCCTTGTAGTTAGGAATATGTTTGATTTAGTGGTTCATTCTTTTCATTATATTCTACTTGTCAGTTGCTCTGCCATTTAAATAAAACCCAGAAATGGGTGTTACTCAGTATTGTCAGCATCAGCATTTGTTTCACATTTAGAAATATGTTGTGCTTCAAGGAACTGAGATGAACATTCCTTAGGTTTTTCCTGGTCAAAGAAGTCATGGACTTGTCTTGTCTCTGGAAATTTTATTTTCCATATGCCACTAGTGTATTATTTATGAGTCTGTTAGCATTAGTCACATGCAATTTTAAAGAAACAGAAATAGACCTAAAGAGTCATAAATCAGTATGGAAAATATAAGTTGCTGACAGGTAAATAATTCTACAATTCTTCTCCAATGTGGAATTAAAAATTACCATTCTGTGCTTAGTCTTTCCATATATTGTGTGATATGGTATATTTCTTTTCTTTCCATAAAGGCCAGAATACAAGGCAGTATTTTCATGGAGCATAAAAGACAAAATAAGACTAACAAGCCAATTAAAGGTTACAAATATAAATATATGTATATATTCTTCCCAGTTAATCTTTTAATAAATACTTTTGATTGTGGCAAATGTTGTTTAATATGTTGCAATAGTCTGTGTGACTGCATTTCCAACTTTTTGGAGATTTTCTTTGGGCTGCATGTTAGTTTAGCAGCGTGCCACCTGTGTTTGCCAGGAACAAAAGCATCCTGTCTCCGAGGGGCAGCTTTAGCAAAGAGTCCCTCAAACGATACATTTTCAAATAGTCCAAATTGTTGCGTTTATAAATGCAGTGTGTGCACATATTAACCATTGTATTTCTTGATCCAAATGGAATATGTACTAGATGCATTCAGTTCAGTCCGTTGCCAAGACATGAGCGTGGTCTTACGGCCATATTAAAGCTGATCTGTAGGAACAAAGTCCTCAGCTTACATCACTAAAGAAGTAAATCCAGAGCATTTAACAGTTTTTGGAAACGAGAGCAGCATTCTTGCAGCCGGTGTGTCACCTCACAGTTCTTCCCAGGTGAACATTATTTTTCCTGGAACAAAGCACGCGAGGCTTAGAGAGCTTTCAGCAAACCTGAGGCTTCGACCTTTCCTGGGCTATGCGTGCACACGTTCTGCACGCTCGTGTTACGGATCCCGGACTGACCGAGCTGCAGCGAGGAACACGGGAGGGAAGATAGTTGTCTTATTTAACACGTGTGACCAAACGTGCAGAGCATGGAAAGAACCTTGCGATAAGTCTTGGACTTGCTTGGTCTGGTGGGAGGTGTCGCTGTCTATGGCGGAGGGGTTGGAACTCGATGATCTTCAAGGTCCTTTCCAACCTAAACCATTCTATGATTCTAAGTTGCAGAGCCACCCTATAGGAGCTGTACGTAAACCTGTACGCCCTTAGGAGCTCCACTGATGTACCCAACTCCTGTGCAATATTTGAGAAGCTGGCAGGTTTGGATGTTGGGTTGTTTGTTGTTTGGGTTTTTTTTAACTCTTGTTTCTTAAAAGCAGAATTTGCCCTGATCTCATTTTGGGATCGTTGAATATTGAACTAATAAGAGGTTTGAAATCCTGCATCTCACGATTCAGTAGAATTGCGAGGCGTCACTCCTAGAAGAAAAGCCAAAAAATTTTTCATGGAATTTAACAGTGCCTTTCTTCTTCCTAACAGCTCACAAGTTTAAAAGCAGTTTGCTCACCATTTGAAAATTCACACACTTTGCAACTCTTCAGAAAGATTTCTAAAATACAACTATTTTTCTGCAAAATGCAAATTAGCAGCAAAACCAGATAGGAAATGGGGATCTTGTCCAAGTCCTGCCATGCCGTGTATATTCCTACTGTGTCGTAATGAAAACTAGATGCAAGTTTTTTGGGCAGGGACAACATCTGTTTACTCTGCAAAGCATTTTCCACACTTGCGTTGAAGAAGGAGGAAGAATTATTCTTTTATTGGATAAAAAGTTTTGTCATGTGCATGCCCTATTGCTGGCCTCTCCAGAGGTTTTTCTCTTATGAGATTAGCCGGGGGAGGAGTGGATGGCAGCTCGAAGTTGTCTACAGATGCAATGATGTATTTAATTGCGTCCAAATTTTTCGTACTAAATTATTAATGCATTTTTAGTACAAAGGAATTATTTGGGGAAAAATATACCCGGGCTTCCGATTACAACCAAAGCTACTGCAGCTGTACTGAATAGGCGTTACATTGGTTATGTGTGTAAAGGAGTGGTTATGTGTGTATCGTTTTTAAATGGTGCGTTTTGCTGTTTTCTGGTCAGGTAAAAGGTGGCAAAGTGCATTACGTCTCTGATGCTGGAATTGCTGGGAAAGTGGAAAGAAATATCCCAGAAGTGTACGCTGCGGACGGTCAGTGGCATTCGGTGCTCATTGAGAAGAACGGGTCTGCTACTATTCTGTCGGTTGATGGGACTCATAGCCGAGACATCCTCCACGCAACGCAAGACTTCGGTGGACTAAACGTTCTTACAATTTCTTTGGGAGGAATCCCATCCAGCCAACCTTTCAAGAGCACAGTTGCAGGTAATTTTTTTTAATATGGTGCGCGTAAGCCGATTTGAGCAGACAAAGGGTCTCTATTTGCTCAAAGGTTGCAGAATGTGCTGTAATTCTTGATTAGTAACTAATATAATTCCGTACTTTGCCAGGAAAACTGCAAATTGACTGAGTAAGGCTTGCAGGCTTTGTTCCTTCAATACACGTTGCAGCCTTGTTGTTTCCAAAGCAGGCATTCCATCTGCAAGGCTTTTTGGAGGCCGGGGGTGGGTTGGCTTGCCTGGCTGTAAATCAGTTCTTATCATTTTGTTATGCTAATGGAGGAGAAAGGATCTATTCTTCACCTGGGTCAGAAACTGGAAAATCAAAGCAAATCTTTTGCTTGGGCAAAAATGGTAAATGAGAACTTTGTCTCTGTAGGGGTTTGTAAGTACTGCAGGATTTAGCCTGTTTTTAATATGATTAAAATATTTTCTGAAACTCCCAACTTCCTCCTGCTTTATTCTGCTGTCAAATGAAGAATAGGATTTATTTCTGAGCAACAGAAACCAAGGACAATAAGGAACCACCCTCTGACTGAAATCTGGCTGTTAAGAAGTAAATCCATCTCCCGTAAGAGTTAAATAAACTGTCTTAGACCCTGGCAAAAGACGTAGATAATATATATTTGATATCATTCCCCCAGTGATAAGTAAAGATGGAAGTGATTTTTAGCTGCAAACTGTGAGATACTCCAGACAATGCAGGCGTAGGTTTCACAGAGTCTTTATATTGAAAAATCTTCCTGACTTCAAGAATTGTGACCAGATAAAGGATCTTTCACTGGAGCAAATTCACACTTCACATTTGTGTCTTGTGAATTTGTGTGACATGCGGTATGATGTCATATGAATGCCGTGCTTACCTTTACCGTTCTTACATGTATGTTTTATGAGCAGTGTATGCATGGAAAAGTCAGAGGCTTTTAGGAAAGCTGGAACAAAGGAAATTGAGGACGCTAAAATCTCACCACCGACTGATGCTGTGGCAGACAAATTAGGAGTGCCTGGCTTCCATTAGGAATACACAATCCAAAATCTCTTATTCATATGATTTTATTTTATGTTAATATTGGATTACATTGTGTACAACATACCAAGGATTTACAAGGGGGAGGTATAAAACTCTGCATGAACTCAGAGAGTCAAAAATATCTGCAGCGCTGTTAAAGGCAGAAAAAAGCACACACGGGTGACAATTCCAGGGCTGTGGAGCTGGTATATCCAATAACATTTTTAAAGCCGGGTAGACCTGGCAAAATCGCGGTCGCTGTTTATCGCATCACTGTTCTAAGGGACCACCAAGCGTGCGGCAAGGTGATCGTCTACTTTGCTTGGGCTCCCACCTGAACCTAAATCCTCAATTTCCTCTTTATTTGGGAATGTAAAAATGGGAGAAAATGAAAATAAAGTAGTGCTGAAAGAAAATACATCTCTCAGAATGGAAATAATACAGAAATGGCATGCTTGCAAAACTTGGAAGGCCCTCTCATGTCCCTTTACACCACGCGACTTGCATCTCTCAGCGAAACGTATTTGATGTTGATACCCACTAATATTTCATTTCTGACATCAGAGGGTGTGCAGATTTTAAAACAACATACTTTGAAGATTATAAATCTGTAATACCGCCTCACACAGCTTGAGTATATTTGCTATTTCACGACAGAGTGAATATTCATAACATTTATCTCTGTGCTGCCCCCTTTTACAGAGGTTTCCCGATATTCACAAAATTGCCATTCATAGTGGCTGGCATTCCGTTCCAGCAATACCTTTGCAAAACGAACCTTTCCCTGACACTGCTAACGCAGGGAGAATTTGCTCCTGTTTATTCTTTCACCCGAGCGCAACACTTCAGACCTGCGTAGCGGCACTTTCCTTCTCCTTGTCGATTATTTTTATTGATAATAGCTGATAAGTTTGACCTTACGTAATATCCTCCCGCAAACCTGGCACCACACGCAGCATCCCAAGGAGGATCCAGCAGAAGTTAAGGAGAAATAAATATGTTTCTTCCAGCAGCCATGCGTGTGGACACCGAGAGCATAACTTGCGAACACACCTCTGCGTACCGTTTTGTCACAGCTCCGCGCAGAGGTCAGCATAAGGTTGCGCTATCCGAAAACCCTGGCAGAAAGGATTAAGTCTGGGGTACACAGAGAATTATTAGGCTGGCAAAAGGCTGGATTTGCCTGCGACCTCACGCAGAACCACCGCACAAAGGCCGGGGATAATCCCATCTCCCGGGGCGCTCTCAGCGCTGAAACTCGGCGTCACCACCGACAGGGTAGCGCTACGCCCAAGCTGTGGGAAGCTTGGGAAAAGGCCACTGGGGATTCACAGATGTAAAAGTATTGCCATGATTTTAGGAGGCAGCAAGACGGGAGGCTTGGCTGAAGCATGATAGGCAAGTTCAGCTGAGAACGGGGTGGGGGGAAGCTGGAAAGCACACAGGCAAAGGGGAATGGGGGCTGATGTTTCCTGCTGGCGCATAAGGTGCCTCTGTGTGGATGGTAAGAAGGACTAGAAATGCGGGAAAATCAGGAAACAAAAAACATTTAAGCATATTGGATGATGTTCTTAGAAGGAATATTTCTTCTAATTCATTTTAAAGACTTTACGTGCTATTAAAGTAGATGTTTTCCTATGGTAACCATGTGAATTTTTGGCTTGTTTACTGAACAATGGAGCCCTTCATTTAGCTTCAGTGAAGTGGGTGTATGAATTGAAAACTGAGTCAGTTTAGCAGCATATTTTTAGAAAATGCAATGTTTCTGCAAAATCCAACCATTTGCTCATTGCTTAGTATTTTGGCAAAATAATTTTGCTTCAAGGGGAAACGACATTGTAATAAAGTTCTGAGAATATAACCTTCGGACTTCCTTCGATGAGCCTGTCTGTGAGATAAGCACACTACGATCACAAAAGCATCCATTTGCATTGCAAACCCCAGATCTAACCTGCTCAGTGAGCTGTGGAGTTGAGTCTCTATGTGTGAGCAACCTGTTTTTACCCAAAATGCGGTTTTTTCATTTCATTTTGTATTATGTTTTTTCCTTGATTTGAACTTTGCTCCCAGTCTCCAAGCTTGAGGCAAATCCTTCCTAATCAAACAGCAGTTCCTTCTCCTGCACAGCCTATAGAATTCTTAAAAGCCAGATCAACATTTCAAATTCTATTTAGGCTTCTGCTTACAATTGCCTGTTTTTTCAGTTTTAATGAAAGTAATGAGAGTGTAAACTCTCTTACAGGTGTTCTAGGAAACATGATATGTTAATTTCAGCATCTTAATTGCAGGTTTTGCTATGCTTTATTTACTCACCTGAGAATATTGTCGTAGCTTTGCAATCTTAGCGTTGAAGTTAAAAGCTATGGTCCGTTTCTGAATTCTTGTTTGGTGGGCTTAAAAGAACCAAGATATCTTGGTATCATTTATATAAGTGCCATGCGTGTATCTTCAGAGAAATTACTTAATTACTTTCTTATCTTTAATCTCTGTTTCTATGCACAGCTTAGGTGTGAAAGTCGTTAGTTTAAAAGGTGAATGCATAGAAGTTATGTCAGAAGCTCCAGGCATGACCAGCCTTTACTTAATCTTGTTCTCCTTAAAAGTAGATTTCAGTTCCTATCTTATATGAACCCCCCAAAATTATCAAAAGTTTATGAACAAAATAGGCATTACAATGGAAGAGGAAATATTCAACAGAAGCAACAAAACATTCCTCACACCTGAGCCAAAGTGATTCAGCGCAGATTGTCAGATACTGAAACACCTGTGAACGAGCCAGCCTTCTAGTGAAATACTATATGATATATCTTATATAGTATTATATAGATTATATATAAAATATACTATATAATGATATATATAATATAATATTATATAGATTAATATAATGTATAACGCTATAGTATTACACCATTATGGTTAATATCACAGATATTTGTACATTAATCAAAACTCAAGATGAAAATGTGGGGAAGCAATCGTAAGCTCAGTACGCATAAGATTCACTCGTGAAAATACAGAGGCTTCGTGTGTGTGTGATTTACTCCACACGCTGCTTCAAACCACAGCAGGAAACCAGGTCGTTGCCTCCATTGTAGCATCGGGTTTTCAGTTTTGTTGCTTCTGTGTTGGTGTTTCCCCTTTCATTTCGGGGGGCAAGAGGCACACCACAGAGCTTGTCATCTGCTGATCCAAAAGGCTTCCCCTTTAGCATGACATTGATGCGCAGGGTGTCTTTGGCCTCTGTTGGCAGTGCATACTCAGTCTTCAGGTCCTGACGTGACTCTTGCTTTTCCTCCTAGGCTTCGATGGCTGCATCTCCTACGTCAAGTACGGCGGGGAGAGCCTCCCCTTCGCTGGCAAGCACAGCCTCGCCACTCTCTCCAAAACAGACCCCTCGGTGAAG